TTCTGGAGGGATTAGGTAGGGAGAAAAGATCGGTATTTCATCTTTGTCTACAAAGGTATACTTTATCAAACTGCTGCAAGTCCTAGATAGCTTGAGAGAAAAGGTTTTCTTAAACCTGGAAAAGCAAAATGTAAAATGACCTGCAATGTTTAAAACAAAAAGTCATAAAAGTGATAATCCTCCTCACCAGTTCATTCAGTTTCATGGAATTAATTCTTTTTTTTTTGGCGGTACGCGGGCCTTTCACTGTTGTGGCCTCTCCCGTTGCGGAGCACAGGCTCCGGACGTGCAGGCTCAGCGGCCATGGCTCACGGGCCCAGCAGCTCCGCGGCATGTGGGATCTTCCCGGACCGGGGCACCAACCCGTGTCCCCTGCATCGGCAGGCGGACCCTCAACCACTGCGCCACCAGGGAAGCCCCCCGTGGAATTAATTCTTGATCTTGACCTGTAGTTAGTAGTTTTATGAAGCCATCAGTTTCTTCAGTAGAGTTCTGTAAATTCTTACCCAGTTGAATGGTATGATCTAAAAGTTTATCAGAAACCTGTAGTCTAGAGAAAGTGTCAGAGCCCTTTCCAGGAATCTCTCTGAAGAGGAAACATTAATAAAGACCAGAGTAAAGCAATGTGTATAAATGAAAAAAGACTTAAAATGGCTGGTTAAAGACCTGATCACAATGCAATTGACAAGGAAATTAGGTTATTTCACTGACATACAGCATTTTAAGATAATAACTAGAATTATGACTGATGACATTATACCAGGATACACCAGATTTCCAGAAATTTCACATAGTTTCAGAAACATATTTAACATATACCTACACGGACACAACATAAAGGAGGCTTAGTATTACTTCTTATTTGACAATGCTTCCCGTGTAATTTAAAATATCAAATAAGCCTAATTCGTTTAACATCTCCTTTTTATAAGGAGAGAGAACAAATCTTTGCGTTATTTCAGGGGCCCTCTGAAACATCTCACACCTCAAAGTTAGTTCTAAGTCAAAAAGACTTCATTTAGAATTTGATTCGGGGAATTTTGCAACAAATACCAAAAGTTTTTTAAAAAAGCACTTGGTCAAATCGGATCATAGGTAACTGTGAAGCAGTGCTTAGTTATCCATTTTACCAAAATAACAATTAAAGCCTTCACAGGCAAATATAAAAAGTTATGTATATTGTAAAAAGCCTGAGCTATACAATATAGAATCTTTGTTTTTCTAGACAGATTACATTAAAGATAAAGAAAACCTTTGTCTACAATTTCTCATTAAGATCAGACCAATAATCTAAGAAAACGTTTCCTTTCAACAGAGAAAACAAAGTTTAATTTTGTACCAGCTTGCTTTTGATATTAAAAATCATTTACTTAATTGAATTCATTCCAACGTTAGCCAGTTCTGACCATATATAAAATTCCCTTCTAAACGTTCGCTTTTTTGTTTCATTTTGTTTACAGACTTTCTATAACTTCCTATATCCATATTGTTTGTCCCCTGTTTTCTTTCCCATTTAGAAACTACCAGCTTTAGGACAAAGTCACTTTTTTTCCCTTAACAAAATGCATTTCCATTCCTTAGACTTTTTAAAACAAATCGCCTTGCACGTGATGATGTTTTTCTTATTAATTTTGGTAGTTTTAATTACATATATTAATTAGAATTTTAACCCTTAGAAACCTTAATTTCTAGTAAAAATTAAGAAGTAGGCAATTATGGACTGTCTTTTACATTAGCATTCTGTAGATTGGCAAATTATAAATACTTTTTACAATTTCTAGAAACATGGACCTTCTCACAGATAATTACTCAGGATCGCACCAAATATATTTACTAATAGCCCCAAATATCTTTAGTTTCTCTGTAAAAGGAAGCCTATGTTCAGTAATTAATGTTTCAGCATCTTATTTTGGGGGGAATGATCTAGATATTTAATAACTTTCTGTCATTTAACTTAACAAAACTCTAAAGTTTCCAGTTACCAAAAAGAATGGAGAAAATATTTTTAAGTATCATAAAACATAAAGAATTCACCTAACAACTCTTATCTCATTTACATTTAATTCACTCATGAAGATATCATCACATGAACTATTTTTTTCTTGGCTGACAAATTTTATAACAAAGATAACATGAACTTTTTGACTTTTAGTAAACCTAGGTATTGATACAATAAAAGTATTATACTTAATGTTGATGCTGAAGAAATGTCTATATGAATTAAGCCAACAAAGTTAAACTAGTTTTAATAACAAATATTAATTTAATACTGAAAATTTCCCAGATCACATGAACCTGAAATTCATTTGGGTTAGTTTCTAGTATATTTCTAAAAATTTACATAAGCACTTAATTTTCTTTAAGTCAATTATATAGAGCTCTTTGACAAGTTAATTTTGGCAATACCCTCCAGAGGTAGAAACATACCATATCCATAAGTACATACATAGATATTCACACAGTCACCCAGACAGACGCAGACAGAGATCTCATAGTTTCCATTTTAAAACGTTCGTCATGAATCACGTACAATACAAAACTCACTAGTTTATAAATAACGGTTGGAGTAAATTAAGTCTACTCACTCAGACGGCTAAAATCTTTTATTATCTGTGGAGAACACTTTTAAGATTTGTATTTGCCTTTGACAAAAGGCAGGTCACCAGGGGGAACAATGGTGTGATTAGACGGCTGTCACTCTCGTTCCATCCCCCAGACCTCTGAGGAGGGGAGGGGGCTGGGGGGTCAGTTCAATCACCAGTGGCCAATGATTTAATCAATCAGGTAATGAAGGCTCCAAAGCACTGCAAAGGACCGGGCTGTGAACACACGGAGGTCTGGGAGACTGCACGCCTGGAGACGGCATGGGAGCTCCTGACCCTTTCCCCACACATTGCCCCAGGCATCTCTTCCACCAGAGTTACATCCTTTTATAATAAACTGATGATCTAGTGAGTAAAATGTTTCTCCGAGTTCTGTGAGCCACTCTAGCAAATCAAACCCCAAGAGGGGGCCTTAGGAACCTCCAACCTGTACCCAGTCGGTCAGAAGCACAGGTGACAACCTGGATTTGGGATTGGCATCTTAAGGTGGAGATGTGAGACTGAGCCCTTTACCTGTGGGGTCTGATGCTAACTCTAGGCAGGTAGTGTCAGAATTGAATTAAATTTGTGAGACACCCAGGTAGTGTCTCACAGGAGAATCACTTGGGGGTGTGGGAAAAAAACACGCATTGGAATACCCAAGAGAAACGAAAACATGTCCACACAAAACTTGTAATGTTCACAGCAATGTTATTCATAAGAGCAACAAATGGAAACAGCCCAAATGCCCAGCATCTGACGGATCAATAAACAAAACGCTGTGTCCGCGCAATGGAATGTCGTTTGGCCGTAAAGAAGCAGGAAGCAGAGATGAAAGCAGGCTCTCAGACAGGCACTGGCACACCTGTGTTCACAGCGGCATCATTCACAACAGCCGAGACGCAGCGACAACCCAGGTGTCCACAGAGAGATGGGCGGATAAGCAAAATGTGGCCTGTGTGTACCGTGAAATATTATTCGTCCTTAAAAAGGAAGGAGATTCTGACACAGGCTACCACGTGGATGACACTTGGGGACACTATGCTCAGTGGGAAAAAAAAATACAGAGACAAAATGTCACAAACCGTACAGTTCCATTTATATGAAATGTGCAGAATAGGCAAATCTAGGCGACATAAAGGAGATTCGTGGTTGCCAGGGGCTGGGGGCAGGGGAAGGAGCGGTCTGTGACCGCTAAGGGTGCAGGGCTTCTTGGGGGTGGGGGATGTGCTCTAAAGTGGATGCTTCACTCTGTGGATCCGCTAAAAGCCATTGAATCGTAGGCTCTAAATGGGTGGGTTATATCTCAACAAAGCTGGGGGAAGGGGGGAGGGGGAGGGAAGGGAAGCAAGCCCAGGCTGGAGGGCCTGGTGGGTGGAGCCACGGAGGCTGGGATGACCCAGTGCCGGGTGATGTGGGCGGGAGCGGGGGACGTGGGAGGAGGGAAAGACTGGGGTCTGGTGACCAAGAGCCACGACGACAAATACTGAGGAAGGGTTGCTAACTGGCCGCCAGAATCTCTCCTTCCCTCTTCCTTTAACTACTTAGGAAAGACCTTCCTTAGGGACTCTGTTCTCTATACAAAGAGAGTGGCCAAGTGCTGATGAAGGAGTGGGTTCTGACCAGCCCTGAAGGGAGAAGTGTTCTGGCCACTACTTTTTCCTGGCGGGACTGACCAGTGGTGGCCAGACACACCCCCACCGCAATGCACTGGGCGGGCAACGCCCTGGGTTGGCAGGGCCGTCGAAAGACCCGCCAGGGTTGTGAGAGACATACGTGTTCCTCTGGGTTTGGTGTCTGTCACAGCAGAAAATCTTTATTGTGCATGTTTTAAAGGTCATATTTGTAATTTCTTACCCCGCTGGCCTTCTCTTTGACCCCAGCCTGAATTCTGCTCTCCTGTGGCTAATGCCTAGAAGCAGGAAGTGTGCCATGGTGTGGTTTACGGGTAGGCATGTGAAAAGTGGCTTCTTTTGTGAAACCTCACTTTGTGCAAGCTGTAAGCTGGGTGCCCCCTTGTGTCCTTACTCAGCTCTCGCCCACCTGGGCATCCATTAAGGACACGTGCCTCCTGGGTGCCAGCCCTGGGCCTGAGGACTCCCCTGAGCGCGGTGTGGGCTTCGACCTGTTCCTGGAATGACGTAGGTCATTTTTTTTTGCGTAGAGAAGATGCAGGTGCTGGCACACTGACCGTGGAGGAGGTGAGGGACACTCTCTGTGTCCCTGGATCCCGGGGACGTCCTGCATCCTGGGAGCAGGATAAGACACCCTGAAGAGCGGTGTCACTGTCTCCACAGACCTTGCCCCGAGCAGCTTCAGCTGGGCTTCCAGAGTCCCTGCCAGACGGGGTTCGTGTTGCACTGAACAATAAAACACCCTGAGCAAAAAGCACCACAGTGCTGCTTCCTGGATGGAGAAGAGAAGCCGGTGCTCCACGCCACAATGGGACTTCCTGGTGACACACAGAGTCCGAGAGGCAGCGGCCAGGCTCTTGGGGACCAGAGCCACAGTGGACCACGCTCTCCAGATTCCAGGTGGAAAGACGCGGCAGAGGTGGGTCATTTCACTGGGCCGTGTCAGTGCCCAAGCAACCAGGACACAGAAATAACCTGTGATCAGGAATAATATGGAGGGTGAGTTTCCTGGAGCCACCCCAACAATCCCACAGATCAGGGGGCTTAAACAGCAGACACTCACTGTCTCCAGTCCTGGAGGCTAGAATCCGCGATCCAGCTGTGGGCAGGGCTGGGTCCTCCTGAGGCCTCTCTCCTCGGCGTGTAGACGGCCCTGTGTCCTCACGGGGTCATCCCTCTGTGTGTGTCTGTGTCCTGATCTCCTCTTCTTCCCAGTCCTATGGGATTAGGCCCACCCCTAATGGCCTCATTTTACCTTAATCACTCCTTTAAAGACCCCATCTCCAAGTACACTCACATTCTGAGTTCCTGGGGTTAGGACTCCAGCATATGAACTTGCAGGGACACATTCAGGGGTTAGGGGTAGGGTTAGGGCCTAACATCAGGCCATGACTTAAGACATTTGGTACAAAAGTAGTGAAGCCCCATGGAATCCCGAGCGCCAAAACGTGCGAGCCTGTGTTGGCCGGAGGGCCTCCGGGCCCTGTGCTGGCCCTGGCAGGGGCACCTCGCGGACACCCCGTGAGCAGTGGCCGTGCACTGAGATGCTGCAGTTTCAGGTGGCGCGCTGCATCGCCTGGGCTGGGTGTGTGGGGAGGCTGGACCTGCACCTGAAAAGAGCGTCTTTGGCCAAAGCCCCCTTAGCAGACAGCAGATTGCCGCTCGTCTCTTGGAATTGCTTCCAGGGGGTGACGTCGGGCCCGTCCTGCCCCGGGTGTGGCATCTCCTGGCCTGGCCAGCCTTCTCCAGGTCGCTGGTCACCGCCTCCTGTCCCCTCTCACAGCAGCTCTGTTCCTGACCATCAGAGAGGAAGGACACAAGACAAGAGCCATTCTTCCCTGGAATGCGTCACCGTCCTGCGGAAGGACCCACTGGAATCTTGATTTTATGCCCAGGAAACCGCTCCCGCGCTGACCCCCCACCAGCTGCGACACGCTCCAGCACCAAGCACGGGTCACCTGAGTGCCCCTGAAACAGCACCCGGGGGAATGTTATTTTTGTTTTGTTTTGTTCTGTTGGCGGTACGCGGGCCGGGGCACGAACCCGCGTCCCCTGCATCGGCAGGCGGACTCTCAACCACTGCGCCACCAGGGAAGCCCCCCGGGGGAATGTTAAAGTGCCTTCGTCCCTTCTGTGGAGCCAGAGAGCCCGCAGGTGATTGAAGGTGATCAGATAGTGGATCTTCACCCATGCCCGACCGGCACCCATGCGTGGCAGCGGCGGGACCCTGGCCCCCTCCCTTGGGCTCTGAGGCTTCTTCGACGCAAAACCTACCCACAACACCAGGGCGCAGAGTGGGGCTGTGTCTGAGTGAGAGGTCCCCACTGCTGTGTTTCTTGTTTTCTCTTCTTCTTTTCCCCACTGTGATAAAATACACATAAGATTGAACATCTTCAAGGGTACATTGTCATTAAGAGCGTTCACATTGTGCAACCATCACACCATCATCTCCAGAACCTCCCATCCTCCCAAATGGACACGCTGCCCCCATAACACTCACTCCCCTCCCCTCCCCCAGCCCTGGGCACCCACCGTCTGCTTCCTGTCTCTATGGATGTGATGACTCTGGAGACCTCACGGGAGTGGAATCACACAGGATTTGTCCTTCTGTGTCTGGCTAATTTCTCTGAGCACAATGTCCCCAAGGCTCATCCATGCTGTCGCCCGTGTCAGGATCTCCTTCCTTGTCAAGGCCCAGTAACGTTGCGTCACGTGGATGGACCACATCTTGTTCACCCTTGTGTTGCTCTTAAACAGCCTCTTACAAATCCCAAAGGTGGACCCAGGGCTGTGAGGTGTCAATTAGGTGGAGAGGCAGCTGCTCCTTGGCTCAGGAATTTTGCCCCGGGGTGACTCATGCGCTGAGCACCCCCCATACCTGATTTAGCAGAGATCTGGATGAGCTCTTGGACTTGGACTCAGTGCTGCAATGGGGCAGGACCTTTGGGGGAGGCAGGACGGGGTGAGCGTAGTTGCACCCGGGATGTGAACGCCGATGGGGGTATCCTCCTTGGAGCCGGCGTCCGTGCTCTGCCAGGCCCGTGTGCTTGCCGGCTGCTGGGGCCGCTGCTGGGGCCACCCTCCCCGTGGCCCAGGCTCTCCCAGGTCAACAGGGACACAGAGATGACCGTCTGCTCCCTGGGCTCTGCTCTGTGCTTCCTTCCTGGGAGCCCAGTGTCTTAAGTCCCGTGAAAGATGTCACTCAGTGTCAGCCTCTCAGGGCCCCGAGCTGACATCCCCCCACCGCTGGGATTTGGCCTGAGCAGCCTCTGTCTCCAGACCTTGTGGGCATGGACACCCCTACCCTGGGCGTCCCCCCGACACGAACCCAGTGTCAACCCCATTCGGGACACCCTGCCCTCCTGCACCAGCCCTCCTGTGTCCCAGCCAAGGTCACAGGACTCAGGGAGCACAGGACAGGGCATGTGTGAGGTGAGAGAGCACCCATAGGTAAAGCTGCAGGTCAACAAGGGCAGAGGGGCAGAGGTCAGGGCTCGCACGACCCAGGGGACGGAGGGGCTCCCTGTCCAGCGAGACTGAACAGGGGTGTACTTAACGTGGCAGTGTGACTTTTCCAAGGGATAAACGTGTGTGTGTGTGTGTGTGTGTAGTGTGTGCACACGTGTGTATGTATGTTTGGGGTGGGAGGGAGTAGGTCACACTTGGAAGGAGGATCTTGAGGCAAACGTGCTGGCTCCGGTGTCAGAAATCCTGACCCAAGGACTTGGGATGGGCAGGGCCAGGGTCTCCCATCCCTGGGAGGCGTTATTGGTGGCCCCAAATATAGTCCACATCTGAACCCCCAGAACCTGAGGTGACCTTTTTTGGGAAAGGGGTCTTTGCAGCTGTGGTCAAGCTAAAGGTCTCGAGATGAGGTCATCCAGGGTCACCAGGAGGGCCCTAAATCCAACGACAGGTGCCCTGATGAGAGAAGAGGCGGAGCGAGGAGGAGACCCGTGAAGACCAGGCAGAGGCTGGGGTTACGCGGCCATAAGCCCAGAGGCGCGTGGGGCCCCCGGCAGCGGCAGAGGCGGAGCGCGGCACTGCGACACCTCGATTCAAACTTGGGCCTGCAGGACGGGGAGAGGATGAACCCCTGGCCGTATTCCAAGTCAGAAGACCCCAGACACGCCCCCAAGAGTGCCGACCGGCCAGAACGAAGATGATCTGACGGATACTTGATGGCCCACGTGTACGTCCGCTCACAGAGGGAGGGTGAGGCCGCGCATCCCGGCTCCTCTGGTCACGTGGTGGGGTGCTGGTTTTCCCCAACAGTTTCATGATAACACAGAGCTCACATTTCATGACCCTGAGCCAGGGTCCCCAAGACGCTCTGCAAAAATGACCGCATTTGACCTTTGTGAAGAAAACCCCATGGGGTAGGTGTTCTCTCATTTTCACGGGTGAAAAATCAAGGTCTAAAGATTGGCACCGGGTCATGCAGCCAGTGGTACAGAGCCCAGGTCAGAACCCACCTGTCTCCCCTTTTCAGTGAAGTGGCAGAAAAACACAGAGGCTGGTATGACCAACTCCCAGTGACCAGGGCTGACATCACTGTAGATCTTTGTGTCTTTGTAAGAGATTAAACAGCGTGCCCAGCCCCAAGCTCCCTTTCCTGCTGGTGTGGGCACTGTGGTCCCCGCAGTGGGTCTGCGGTGCTCTGCTCTGTAACATCTCTGGGCCGCAGGTGCAGAGTGGAGCCCGTCAGCCTTCTCTCGCCCGAGGCAGAGTGTGTGGAACACACACTTACCTGTGCACGCGTCTTTGTGAAACGCGTGTTGTTGGCGCTTCCTTAGACCACGTGTGGAGGTCCAGCTCATGTGCAATGACGGCAAGTATTTAAACTGTGCTTGTTGATAAGTTCTGGCTTTTGCAAATGACCCCGGAAGCATCGTACAATCAAGATAATGACGTATCACCCACCCCCGGAAGCTTCCTGTGCCTTTGTCGTGCCCCTCCTGTTTGTCTGTCTGTCTGTCTCCACCCTCTCTCTGCCAGCTCCTCCCTACTCATCCGCTTGTGTCCTCACAGAGGAGTTTGCATTTTCCAGAATTTTACTTATTTATTTTTGGCCGCGGTGCTGCAGGATCTTAGTTCCCAGACCAGGAATGGAACTCCTGAAAGCGCCGAGCCCTAACCACTGGACTGCCAGGGAACTCCCCAGAATTCTGAATATATGGACTCATACACACTGGCAAAATCATTTTGCGATTCACCTTTGCTGCCCTGTGTGCCAACAGCCCCTGCCCCCAGGTCACCCAGAAGTACCCCGCTGGGTGGACCTTCCAAGGTTTCTCTCTCCACACTTTGGTGCACATTTGGGTTTTCTCCAGTTTGGGACCATTACAAATAAAGCTGCTGTGAGAATTCTCCGTGGGACACGTGCTTTCGCTGTCTTAGGGAAAGAGCCTGGAGTGGAATCACATGGTGGGTGTAAGTTTAACCTTGGCGGAAACTCAACAACAAGCAAACAAACGTTTTAAGAAGCTGCCCGACCGTCCCCCCAGTAGTTGCGCCGCCGTGTTGCTTCCCACCAGCTGCGCACTAGGGCTTAGTTCTTCCACGTTCTCTGGGCGTGGGCAGTCTTTTTTGTTTTAGAATTTAGCCATTTAATAGTGTGTAGTGGCATCTCATTGTGATTTTAATTTGCATTTCCCTAATGCCTAATATGTTGAACACCTTTTCACATGCTTATCTGCCCCTATATACCTTTTTTCATAAATTATTCAGATCTTTTGCCCATTTTTAATTGGGTTGTTTATTTTCTTGTTACTGAGTTTAAAGCTCTTGACATGTTCTGCATACAAACCCTTTACGAGATATATGATTTGCAAATATTTTCTCTTGGTCTATGGCTTGTCCTTTTATTTCTTTAACCATTATTTCTAATGGTCTTTAGAAGAGCAAAAGTTACTAAGTTTAATGAAGCACAATTTACCATTTTTTTCTCTTATGGATTGGGCTTTTGCTGTTGTATCCAAGAAATCTTTACCTAACTCAAGAGTACAAAGATTTTTCTCCTGTTTTCCCCAGGAAGATTTATATTCTTACATTTTACCCATGGACCTATGATTCATTCTTAGTTAATTTTCTATAAGATGTGAGATACCAATCAAAGTTAACTTTTTTGCATGCGGATATCCAATTGTATATGGATACCCAGCACTCTCTGTGAAAAGACTACCCTCTCTTCTGACATGCTGGAAGCTCGCAAGTTGCCATTCTGTCCTAACAAAAGTAAAAAGCTGAACAAACAAAAATCCAAAACTCTTCTTCGATCCATAGAGGAGCAAGGTCACAGGGCAAACTACTGTCCCCCAAACTGGAGAGACAGACAGGCGCACACAGGGAGTCGTGGTTTACCAGTGCAGCTGTCTGTGTGGGAGCCAGCACTGGGGTAGGAAGTCTGGACTGGAATTGATAAATGGCTGAAGGCTCGGTGTGGACAAACCTGAGGGATGAAAGCTCCAGGGGCACTCGGTCAGAGGGTCCCCACAGTAGTGTGAGATTCACCTCCAGGAGCACCACCAGGTCCTCACAGTAGACACTGGAGAAAAATTCCTGGTGCTTCCGTCAGGGGGAGGGAAAAGGATCCATTCTGAAATGGATGGAGAGAGACACACTACGCTAGCCTGAAACAAGGGAAAGCAGGGATTGCTGTATTAATTTCAGGTAGAGCAGACTTCAGAGCTGGGAAATTTATCAGGGAAAATGATAAAGCATCAATTCTCCAAGAATACATAATACTCCGTCATGTGTATGCACCGAACAACAGAGCATCAAAATACATGAGGCAAAAACTGATGGACGGGCTTCCCTGGTGGCACAGAATCTGCCTGCCAATTCAGGGGACATGGGTTCGAGCCCTGGTCCGGGAAGCAACTAAGCCACGTTGCAACACGCATGCTGCGCAGCGACTAAGCCTGTGCGCCACAACTACTGAGCCTGCGTGCCTAGAGCCCATGCTCCACAATAAGAGAAGCCACCGCAATGAGAAGCCTGCGCACCGCAACAAAGAGTAGCCCCCGCTCACCACAACTAGAGAAAGCCCGCGTGTAGCAACAAAGACCCAACTCAGCCAAAAATAAAATAACTAAAATAAAAATATATAAATATTAAAAAAAAACCCAAAACTGACGGACCTGCAAGGAGAAACCGATGAACCCACTGTTACAGTTGGAGACTTCACACCCCTCTACCAGAAATGGACAGGTCCAGCAGGCAGAAGACAAGTGAGGACATAGCTGAACTCAACAACACCAGCAATCAACTGGATTTATCTCTGAGTATTTAATGTTGGGGACGCTTTTGTAAATGGTATTGTTTTGAATTTCAGTTTATGAATGTTCAGTTTGTACTGCTAGTATATAGGAACACAGTAGATTTTTGTTTACTTCCTTTAACGCTGCAAACTTGCTAAACGCACTAACTAGTTCTAGTAGCTGTTTTGTAGGATTTTTCACGTAAACGATCATTCCGTCTGTAAGTAAAGGTGGTTTACCTTGTTATTTTTCAAGTGGGATGCCTTGGTTTCTTTTTCTTGCCTGATTGCCCTGCTACTAGCTCCATTCCACGCTGAATAGACGTGGTGAGCGCAGACATCCTTGTCTTGTTCCTGTCTGAGGAAAAGTATTCAGTCTTTCACCACTAAGTATGATATGTCAGATGCATGTTTTTTTGTAGATT